GTAGGGGCGTATATCTTTTAAATACTTAAGGTACTTACATTAGTACGAAGTATCCTTATATGTAGCTACCGGTAGGTTAGGTAATCGTTATACCTACGTAAAAACTAGGTACATAACATCATTGAGGGCCGGCGACGGTTTGCGAGGACAGATGCTGTGACCTCAATTTCTCTTTCGAGTCTTTCGAGCATCTTTGTCGCCCTACTTACGCACACTTTCAACGCCGGTCCAATTGTAGTGTAGAGAGAAGCCCGTGCCGCAGAACGCAGAGTCAAAATACAGATAGCGCAGGTGGACGAGCGAGACCGCGATGAGTACGCCGCCAGTTAGGAACTATCACCAGAAGTGGACGGGCCGGGAAAAGCCGAGGTACTTCCGAAAACGGACTGACATTGGAATGAACGTGACAGTTCTATGCGCTTCTAGGGATCGTACAGAGTAGTCACAAGACTGATATGTTGAAGCTTATTAGAGGTTGTCATCAGTTGGATTTGTGCATCGTGACACGCTTCTGCCCTTTCAGCCGGCGCCTGAGGTGAGACAGCAACAGTGATATGGCGGCAGCAACCTCAAAAGTGGGAGTAAAGCAGCCACATCGGTCCACGAATACGTTCGAGTCTATACTATGTATATGGCGCAGATAACCTACTGCGCCCCGTTGCGAAGAAAAAGGATTTAAGATCCCTCGAGCGTATTCGGCTTCAACTCAATGTACGGACCGGACTCCTCTAACTGTTCGAATGTGCCCTGTTTATCCTTCCGTACGTAGGAGATTCTTTGACCATTTATTACAAGTACAATCACTTGATAGGCCCACCTTCTTGAACCAGGCTCACCAACTCAACTCGGGGACTCTTCAACAGCTAGGACTACATTTCTGATTTGTCAAACCACAGGCATGTCAGCACTGCTTTTCTCCATGTCACCACCCACTCCCTGAGATCTTGTCACAGCTCACTCAGATCAGTGTATTGTATACTCCCTCCCTCTTCGTGAATGCTTTGTCTGCTTCTTGATAGATATCAATATGCCTTCACCAGAACTTGCATACCTATTCCACCAGAGAGAAGTCAACTCTTTCATACCACTCTACGGTGCCAACGGTTCGTCGTTCCGTCTTCCATTCAAGACACTGACCTAAAAGGTATAAGCGTCATCGTGACTGGGTCGAATGTCGAATTGGACGCCTCGAGCAAGCGGTTCGTTTGGTGCTTGTTAGTCTTTGTTAGTGGCCTCTTGGCTGTCAGGGACATCTAGTACTCCGGGAAGAATCCCCTCACATTGGCCCAGATAATAGCCGCGTTCGGTTGTATTATGTATAGTAATGTTGTGCGTACGCATGACGGTATCCTAAATATTTCCTGCTCGGAAGGTAATAACGTCTTGCAAGGTCGGAGAGCTGGAGGGACTCATGAGCAAGTTGGAAATCGTAAAGCGGAAGTCGGACTTAACGATTGGACTTGCGAAGACACCACTCAGGACACCGGGGGTTTCGAACAGAGTCGCTCTGTGTCGTTCTCCCCTCAACTGTTTAGGGGCTATGTGGCCGCAGAGGCCCACGCCGACGGCGACGACAACATCGCATTTATGAGAAGTATGCGAGATAGTAATTTTATCGGGGGTGATGGATAGTCGATAGGAGGGTTCGCTGCGAAGGCCCCAAGCACCTAACCAGAGTAATATGTAAAGCAAGTTATTATGAATTTGTTAGGAAAAAGAAGTTTCGAATCAAGGAAGAGGTAGTGAGCACTGCCCTCTTTTTAATGGATTCTTCTTCCAAGTCGCTTACTCTACTCTACGACAACAGTGTCGCGATGCTGGTCTGAGATGCTCTTCGTCTAATGTGATAATTTCGATGCCACCTCAGTCGGTGATCCTGCAGTACCCAATGAGGGTGCACCTCCGTTGTAACTGTGCGTTGTGTTAAGAGTTCCACTTGGACCCGATGTCCAAAGCCCGGCGAAATGGATATAGATTATTGGCGTCCGATGGGCATCGCTCCTCCCCGTTCATTTTTGATCTTGAGCCGTCTAGCGATGCGATCTCCGTCTAGGTATTAAGATTGTGGGCATACGAGGACTTGAAGAGACCAATAATACCTACTATGGAGAAGTATATATGCAGTACCTCGTGGTCAAGGAGGAGATCGTGAATAGTTCGCCGAGTGGTTCAAAGTTATCTTCCGAAGGCCGAGATCGACTGACTTGAGAGCCTTGAGAGCCTTGAGTCGAGACTCTGTTGAGCGGAGTATGTCAGCAAGAGATGGAAATAATATATTCAGTCTAGTTCTTCAGACGGCTTAATGTACAAACAAGGCACTGGCTCCGGTCCGTAAAACAAGTTATTTGGACTCTTAGCACTACGACACAGTGCTGGAAGGATAAATGAGGGAAGATACATGATGGATTCAGAAAAAAAAACAGGTTTCACAATAAAAAGATGTAGAATCAAATAAGGAATATCCTCTGTTATCCGCCCTTACGCTCTGGTAACGGGTCTAGTGTCTCTTAAGAGAAAGGTAGTATCCCCATGATGGTTATGACATGATCATCAAAGCCCATATCGAGGGGATCGCGATAAACCTGCACGACGACACTGTGAACCCGAGGAAATGTTTTCTGGACCACGGAAAGCATCAGATATAACTGAGCAGGAACTGAAAGGAGTTGAATCAAGGGATTATGGAATAGGAGTCATACAGACATGGCATTGAAAGCCATGGCCTTGCCTGACGAGGCGGACCGAGTATGCCTTCCAATAGGTGGACTCTTTGTACAAGTAACCTATCTATATCAAAGCCAAGGCTGGCTGATGAACAATATAGTGAATAACGTCATGAACAAAAGTTACCTACAAGAACATGGAAGTACCAGATCCCCCTTCAGGACTACTTCTAACAAGACCTCTCGGCATGTTTTTCTGTGAGTCAATGGGCATAGATATGAATATCCCAAGTACCTTATTGTCTCATGCAGGTACCTTGTTGTCGCCAGGCAGGCACCAAATACACCATCGTGAACCTGGTCAGTGTGTTTTTGCTTGCGGCATAGGCATCAATACCTGCGGCTTAGGTACGCTCGACAGTTTGCAAATAGGCCTCACAATGCGTGCTCAGCCGCGTGGGGGCAATTCACCTCCATCATTTTTCTCCCACAGATCAGAAATAAGAGGGCTAGAAGGAAACACTTCGTTTCTTGACCTTCTTCCCTCCTCCACACCATAATTCCGCACCACAACTCCAGATCGTCAACACCTACACTCTTCTGCCACAACACATCGTCTATCAAGATGCCTAGAAAGGGTAATTATTTGGGAAAACGCAAACGCGGTTCGTGGAACGCGATCAACGCTCCCAACAACCCCGAGTCTGAACCTCAGGGCACGGCGCGAGCCGTAACCGAGCCAGAATCTCACCGCGCGGCGCAACGCGAAGCCGAGCCAGAATCTCACCGCGCGGCGCAACGCGAAGTCGAGGACCAAGACATTCAAGGCGAGGAACTTCAAAAGTACCATGTCTTGGCTCAATATACGATTGAGCCTGTCAAGAACAATCCTGACAGAAAGGGTAGGTCGTACCAGTGTCCGTAGCAACGTATCAGAAAAGTCTTCACCCACCTCATCTCAGCCTAAACTCCTTTCCTGGCATGAAATATGGCTTTTTATCAACTGACCTATTTCATCAAACGAAGGCAAGCAGAAGGCTGGCCAGGAACAAAGTGGCAGTCATGTCATCCTCAAGATGCAAGAGATCCACGACGAAGAGGCTGAGCAGGCTGGCGCCAAACATGGTAAGCCAATTCAAGCAACTCAATCATTATGTAACCAATTTCGAAGGCTAAAGCAAAGGCCTTCAATGGCCACAGATTGGGAATCTCTTGGTGAAGTCACTTTGACTTTGCCGAAGAAGGCAGTTGAAGACATCAAAAAGCAGGCTGACGAGCAGCGAGAGGCCTACAAATACAGCAGAGGAGTCTTCGGCAGTGTTGCAGATTGGGTCGGCAAATTGGGCCAGGAAAACCTGGAGCTGAAATCCGATATTGACCATTTGATGGATGAAGTGGAGTATTTGAAGGACGCCGTGCGGAAAATGATGATGAAGGATCGGACTGGCCTTCCTGACCAGCGATCTCGAACTTCATCCGGTAGCAAGGGCTCCCTCTCCTAAGTCATGGGATTGACAGAAGGGAAGCTATGGCAGGAAGCAATATTGAGGATGAGCACACAAGATGTTTTCCTATTGTCGAGGAGTAGCTAGCATTCTTCACGAGGGCGTGTTTGCTTGCCAACGTTTGCAGTTTCGCACACACTTGGGGCTGGTTAGAGCAACATTCCGCTCCCATTGCCCCAACAGAAAAGTTTGAATCTCTTTCATCGAGACGTGTAGCATAGCAGAGTCAATTCAATTCACCAAAAGTTTATATTGAAACTCGATAAGATTGCCCAGATGACCCCTAATCATTACAAGAAGCCAGCTTGACTGAAGCGCTAAGCGCACGGTACAAACCTCTTCTCGAGAGAGAATCAATGCGGAAAGGCGTACTACTAATAAAGACCTAGGCTACCGACTAGACATACAGTACTCTGGTGGCATTGTGAGAGCAACGATGCGTAGGTAAGAGATGGAAGAGGATCGCCGTGCTTCCTGTGGTAAACACTAGGTTCGATCTCAAAAGGGAGAGGAAGAAGATGACGATAGATGAAGGCATAACGCGAGAGACTCCGCGCAGACTTGAGAGCTGAAGACAAACCAATGTCAAGATATCCAAATGACCAGACTTGGTCGCGGGAATAGAGAGGAAAACAAAAGAAAATGGAGGCGAGCATAACTGACGCGATAACAGGCACTACGGATCGTACAAAACACCTACGTAATTACATACACTATACTGAGACGCGCAAAAGCGCGATTGGGTCCGTCTATTGACGCGTCTCAAAACCCCAAACAAACAAACACAAAAAAAAGGCAAAAATGAATCAATTACGGAAGAAATCGTAATTTTTGACCTCGCTGGGGGTCGAACCCAGAATCTCCTGATTACTCAGAACTCGTCGTAGTCAGACGCCTTGCCATTGGGCCACGAAGCCAGTTGGTTGACGGACACGACCGTCCCCACAAATATAACGCCCGCACTCCCGAATGCTGGATGCAGTGTAGAATTTGACCGGTAACTTAGGTAGTCGAGTATTCGAATATTTTTCGCCTGCGATCTCATCTAGAAGAGCTTCTTGCTAATTAAATTCTCCAGACATGCGTATTTAATGCTAATGTTGCTGCATCTTGCCCACTATTAATGGAAGAACATCAAAATATCCATTGTTGCGTCGGAGGGGTGGGTGTATTGAGCCTACCTAGTAGCTTACAAGTACCAATATCAATACCTCTACGTACGTACGTACCTAAATTAAATGTACGTTGGAGACAACCTCGAGATACCGCGATACAGACCGTAGACCCTGGACCGACACCACATGATTGGCACGTAATTGCATGACCAAAGTGATCTTCCCACTTGAGAGTAACTGAGAAACTAAACAGCCATCTTTCTGTAAAGGTCACAAATAGCTAGCGGGAGTCGAGTTATAGCAATGTATTGTCTGCTTCTGGTTTACGAAGTGATGTAGTCCATTTGACTTGCTCACAAGAGACAGAATCTTCAAGATCATGACTCGGATGGGAAGACCTTGCGCTTTACGCAGAATAATGTCTTCTCCGAGGAAGAGTTGCCAACTTCGTTGACATAAGTCGACGCTGACTCAAAAGCCTCGTCATCATTACATATAAATGTGTGGCGCAAGGCCTCGATATTACTCGGGTATATAAGCGCCCACATTACCATTAATTTCCATCATGTAGTCGTCTTGCAAATGTCTCGACTGCATTAAGATTCTTGCAGATCCGGGGCAGTGCCCCATCACTGGCGGCTCTATCCAGCGACGACTATCATGAATTTCTACTCATCATCAACTATTCGACTTGCTGTGCCTCCGAAAATAGGGACTTCAAATCTATTCCAAGTCATTAGCAACTCATGCCGTGTAGTGGTAATTGTGAGATTGAAGCGCGGCTGAGAAGTTGACCACTTACCTATCAAGGGTATTAGCGTCGCGGTAAGCATGAAGCGCAAGGAAGACGATTAGACCGAGGTCGCCAAGTAGGATAACCCAGCTAAGGAAAGCCGACCATGAGAACAAGAGATGGAGGATGAACACGGCAGTGAAGAGGAGACTCGACTGCCATGCATGGAACCTGAAATCAACTGCATTAGCCCCGGGTTTCAGGTATCTGGATTCGAACAGCCTCAATTCCTTGCCTCGCCTCCCTATTGCGAAGGCGCCAAGCCAAGAGAGGGCCCAGAGCAACATAGAGATATTCTCAGCCTATACACAAGGTCACGCCGGTGATGGAACCTACCTGACATAATCACTCTTCCTCTCCATAATTAATAGTAATATGGCACCGAGGGGCGGCAACCCGCAATATGCAAGCACGGCTTCGTAATCAAGTCGAATGCCTAGACTCGTGTCGAATTCGCTGACAAAGGCCGCTGTATCGCCTGCGCCCATGGCCACACCAGGACTGCTGCCGCCAAAGCCCTCCTCAGAAGCGTATCTCGCATGCCATGAGCGCTGGGGCTGTGGGTGTTGTAGCGGCGGGGGAGAATAAGCGGCGAAGTTGCGCTGCGATGGGCTGAAGGGTTGTGCGTTGTCGGCCGATACGCGGGGCGAGGCGAATCCCTCGGCAGGAGGAGAGAAGGGACGGTTGTGTTCAGGCGGCGAGCTCTGGTATGGCGCAAAATCCATCGTGGGGATCGCTTTCGGGCCTCGTAACTATTATTCGTATACGTATACAGTCGAGAGGCTCAGCCTCTAATCCAACGCACTTCGTGACTGGGATACGCTATGTCCCTCGTTGAAAGTTGCTAATTAAGCCAATGCCGATAGAGAGAGTCGCCTACGAGTCGTGGTTCGTTCAATGCCGTGGTTCCTGCTCGTCTGTGATACAAAAGTGATGTCGTTGGAAATCGGCAAGAGTCGCAAGCTCGGCCCTGGGGATAGAGAAAGAAGTCCGTACCAGGTCAAGACTACGGCGTACCTTGCGCTAAATTCGAGCATGTAGGTAGTGCCTACGTCCGTAGTCCGTATAAAACGAGGAAATTAAGGTCGTCGTGATTTAGGTACCTTACCTAAGGCAGGTAGACACACTTAGGTACGCAGAATTCCGTATGTATACTTCATACCTACCTTGCTTCGTATGGACGTACATATCGCATGTATGTACGGATCCGTACGAAATAGGTACCTATGCAGTACCTACCTACGTCCGTACCTCAAGTGCCTATGACGCATAGCATTGTACGTATCTAACCGGCTCTAAACCAAATCTAGTAAATGTTGCTGAACCCCGCTAGGCAGGTACATTTAACGCATGACCCGGTAGGTAGGTAGGTACTACCTATTCCGTACTAGGTACCTGATTTCGAGGCTTGCTGGAAAGTGTATACTTACGTAATCCGCAAGTACCTACTTACAAAGTGCGGACGTACGGAATACACGAGAGGGCAATCGTGTAAGATTCGTGCGTATTGTATAATAGGTACATCTAGAACCAGTATTTGCCCGGTCTACCTACTTCGTAATATGCAACGGCTCAGAGACTCGGCGGGACACGCAGGGACCCGAGATCAAACCCGTTGAAAACGTATGTACGTCCGTACATATGGGGGCATACCTACATTACATATGCATGAAAGAAAAACTGGAACCGTTCGAGGAGACTGAATCAAATTCGAGGCCTCCTGCTCGCACTATAGCTCATTCTATCAGCCAATCAATCAACGTCAAGGGGATTTCCCCTTATACCAGGTAGGTAAGAGTAGATTAGATCAGTTAAGGCACTACCTACCTACACCTATTTAGCCCTTTCGAAGCGATATCTCTTTCAGTTAACGACCGAAGCCGGTACGCACGACGATTAAAGTGCAGCCAATTGACACAGTCAACAGCTAGGTAAATCAGAGCCAATCTACCTAGTACGTATCAGTCACTACAGCTGCCAATAAGGACTATAGTACTTAAGCCAATCTGCTAGAGAAAGTCTGCTCCGGCACAGAGCTGTTCCAAAGGTCTATATACTTACGGATCCGTAGCTTTTATGCCCTTCCTCAAGTATGCATGTATATTATTGGTTACTATTTGTTGGCGGTTCACCCCTACGCATTCTAACAGATGCCTGATTCGCCTGCCTTTTTGGAATTTTATGTACATATGTTTGTTTGTTGGTTTCAAGACAGACTGTTATGCATATGAGTCCTGTTGCACATCAATAGTACATGCCTCATCTAGGCGTTGCTTGCGTTGCTTTCGTTGCCGTCTTGACTCTCCTTTTTGCCCCCATTGGCCTCCTCCTCCAACTGTGTCCGTCTGCCCTCCAGGGCTAGCCATAGACCCTTTCCATGGCCCTCCAAAACCGTCGTGATACTGAGACCAGCCTGATGTAAAAGAGCCATCATCTGCGCTCGCAGCGCGTCTAGGCCACCTTCAATTCCACCTACCCACTTGACTCCCTCGTTATCGAACGCCCTGTTTTCTATCCTTCCTCCAAGTAGGATTAGCTTCTGGAACCCACTCTGGGCAATAGAGTCATAAAACCCAGGACTCTTCTTTCGGGTCGGGGCCGGGAATGCAGGAGACGGTGCGAGGACCTTCAGAACAGCTTCCAAATGTGCCGGCGACACTGAAGGAACATTTACGGCGGCGACAGGCCCTACGATCAAGGGCTGGATCTGGCCATACGTAGATGACTCGTCCACAGCGGCATTAACGATCGTCTCATAAGCTGCCTCGGACAAATCGTGCATGTATTTATTTGTCTTTTCGGTCTCCTCGTTGTGAGGCTTGTAGTACTCGACGATCCTGCAGGCAACGCTGAAAATGCGCGTGCGCAAGACCGCCAATTCAATGTTGGAGTTGATGTCGATGGGGGTGCCATCGGGTCCGCTTGGGGGAGGCGGGACTGCTTCCAGGACAGCACGAAGTTCTCGGCGCACAGCGGCCCACTCCACAGCAGTGAGGTTGTTGTGCTGGAAGAAGAGCATCAGGGGCGTCGATCGTAGCGTTGATGTGTATGAGCGAAGTAGCTGGGTCTTCCTCAGCTCTGGTCGCCGCGCACTCGGAGGCTGGGTCGGGGGAACATAGTCGTCGGGCAATTTCAGTGATGTGAGAGGTCCTGCCGTTGCATATTGCCTTGAAGCAACTCTCGTCATTCTCGTCACATTCTGAGTTATGACGATGGGTATTCTCGTCGGGTTTGTTATTGTTCGCTGTAAGACTCGCCCTGCGCTGCTGTGCGCACAGCACTTGAACCTAGACGGCATAGTGAACAGCCCTGTGGTTCTCAGTAGAACCTTTCTCTACAATGGCGCTCTCTAGACCTTGATGTCGTCGCTTTCGCTCTCGACTTAGTGAAGATGATGTTGCCAGAAAAAGGTTAAGAGACGAGTGCTGCAGTTAGAGGGTAGGTAGTTTGACCAGGGTGTAGGTATCGTCATGCGGTCAGGCATTCGGAGATCAGAAACTCTACGTCCGTAGCTAGCTACGGACTCGCATCTCAAGTCTGCCCCGCTTCACCGCCTTAATGGATAACCGCGTGATAAGGATATCGAATACGTGCGTATCGGCCTTACACTAGATAAGCACAGTAGGCAGATACTGTACATCATATCTAGGTAATTTCACTTATGCAGGCTGCTCAGTCCCTCTACGGATCCGTACACTAGTCCGTATTGATTGAACAAATGGCGGAATGGCGACGGAATGCTACCTATCTTGATGAGTGCGCATTGCGTTATAGGTTAGGGTGTTTACGTTGTTATGCTTGCCTGAGGTAGGTAGGCCATGGCATAAGGTAGTATGTATCTACGTACACTCACTCATAGGTTGATAAAATAGTGAGGGTACCGGTACCTACTTATTACTCGCTCCATAATCCCTCTCCGATCTGAGATTTCGTCTCTCTTCATGAGTCAGGCTCACTCCGAGATATAGAGAGGGGAATTGCTCATCACACTAGGTACTTCAAAACCGACCAGTTTCGTGACACGGCCGATCAACTCATCCGCAGTCCGATTTGACCATGATGGGAGACGACCAAGTTACGGTTGACATTCGACCATTACTTGAACGTCTATGGCCAGATCCAGGGATGAAAAATGTCACGGCCAATGAGATCGCGGAGGCAATGACCCTGATCTTCGTCAACAAGTTGACCCCAGTTCAAACGGGCTCACTTTTGACAGCCTTACATTTCACCGGCTGGGACCGTCGTGCTGACGTTTTGGCCGAAACCTCTGCCGTCATGCGGCAACATGCGAAGAAAATCGATCTCCAGGCTTTGGAAGATGTTTTGTCCCAAAAACGGCGACCGGAGGGAAATTATATGGGCGGATTTGTGAGTTTTCCCTGGGACATATGACTGAGAGCGAGGGGGAACGGCTCACCGTTCAATTGATGGGCCGAAGAGAACTAGTCTTTATTGATGTGACTTTGCAGTGCGATATCGTCGGCACAGGAGGCGATTCTCATCACACCTTCAACATTTCTACCACCTCTTCCATACTCGCATCGTCTTTGCTTCTCATCGCAAAGCACGGCAATCGCGCGTCGACTTCTAAGTCCGGCTCTGCAGACCTACTCATGAACATGAAGCCGACACCCGCCCAACTCCCTCGCGTCACCAGTGACACTATCCCTGCTATTTACCAGTCCACCAATTATGCCTTCCTCTTTGCTCCAGCCTTCCACCCGGGCATGAGAAATGTCGCTTCCATCCGTAAGGAGCTGGGTTGGCGAACCATTTTCAACCTCCTAGGTCCCTTAAGCAATCCCCTTGATGCCTCCATTGAAGCACGTATGCTAGGCGTTGCGCGCGACGACCTGGGCCCCGTCTTCGCCGACGCATTGCGTCTGGCTGGCGCAAAGAAGGGGTTAATAGTTTGCGGCAAAGAGCAGCTCGATGAAATCTCATGCGCCGGACCTACCCTATGTTGGCAGTTGGTTAATCACGAGAGCGATGGCAGGGTCGAAGTCGAACATTTCGTGCTCGAACCCAAGGACTTTGGGCTCCGTGCTCATCCGCTCAGCACCGTGTCGCCCGGCAAAGAGCCTCACGAGAACGCGGAAATTCTGGCCAAAATCTTGCAGGGTGAACTGCCCGAAGACGACCCTATCATCGAGTTTGTTTTGATGAACACCGCGGCCTTGTTCGTTGTGTCGGGTATCTGCGAGGCCGACACGAGTTCCATGGGCCCTGGTGACGACGGCAAGGTCATCACGGAGAGAGGACCCGGAAACGGGCGTTGGAAGGAGGGCGTCAGAAGGGCAAGATGGACGATCAAGAGCGGTCAGGCATGGAAAGAATGGAACGCGTTCGCCAAAGTCACGAACGCTTTACCCGCATGAAAAAGCCGTTCGTGTTAAAAGGTGCATAATCATTATATGTGACGGGGAGGAACATTATCTACCTACTTATTCAATTCACACCCTCAATCTAAACGTATTTCCCATGCCAACCTGTGTGGCGCATGTGGAAAGAAAGTTGGTTCACTAGAAGTCGACGTGCCTCCTTGCCTTGACGTCGCATTGTCTTAAAGTTGCATGCCGGTAAGCTGTTACAACGTTGCTAAAGTAAGCCGGACGATACCCATTTTTGTATGTATGTAGAAGTACACTACTGTAGGTCCGTAGTACGGACGTATATGCACGTCGATTCCTTCTCACTTGGCATTTGACTACCTAATCGTCGCAGGCCACAGTCCACAATGCACCCAGAAGCCGAGGAGTCAACATCAAGCGCCAAACCAGAAAAAAAAAAGGAAAAAAAAGGGTGGGAGGAAGAGAAAAGAAAATAAAATAAAAAAAACAGAAACTAAAATAAAATAAAATGAAAATGAAAGGAAATAAAATACAAGAAAGAAATAAGAAAGGACATGTGAAAAGTGAGCGCGGAAAGAAAGTTCCAAAAAGAAAACAAAACTCTCGATCGGGGAATCGAACCCCGGCCACCTGCGATATTGATGGAGAACCAATGACAAGCAGGTATCCTGACCACTAGACCAATCGAGATGCTTTAGTGTTTTATGCCAGACGTCCCCGCTACGGGATATATATCCCTACGGTCGATCAGTACACATACAGAATAAGTTTTGTTGCCCATTCACGATTTCAATACATAACAGATACCTCAGCGTTTAGTACGGGGGAGGAAATAATAGCAGAGTTTTAAACTACTTTTGCTTCAGAGAAATATGTGGGTTAGGCCGCGTCAACCCATGCAATGCGCCGACTGATACCCTATTTTGGGACACGCCCCTTTTCCCGAAAGCACGGATTTTTGCCCGTGCCCGTCTTCCACCCTATCTAGACAGCACACCACGGACGGTTCCATTCAAGATCGGCTTTCTCTCAAATACGCGCTCTCCAATGCCGGTGTTGCTACCACTGCCGACTTCCAGCCACCGCGCCAACAGGTCATTGCTCTCCTTGGGCTTGACAAAGTTGTCGCGTGTGCCCACGGTGATATGAGCTACCTTATTGACACAGGTCCAACTATCGGTCTCATCCAGCAGCCGTACCACGATAGCCATTATTCGGTCGTCATACACCACGCGTTCGAGCACGACTTCGCACTCACCGACCTTGCCATCCATAGTCTGACTCTCAGCGTGGATGGTGGTGTAGCGCTTCCACAGTGCGGGGCGCTCCTTAGCAGAGGCCCTGTGCATGAGTGTAACGTGGAAAAGAGGTTGGATGCGTTGGGTTTGCTGGAGGTGCTTGTAGAACCGCTGCGTCTCTGCATCGGTGCCTCGGAAAGCTGACCCCAGCGCCACGTTGATCTCTTGGGCAGGAACTGATATAGACATGTATTCAAGCGGTTTCTTTTTCTTTTCCTGGACTTGCGGTTTCTGTATCTCTTGTCGTTTCGGTTCCTTTTTACTCGTGCGGTCAGGGATTGTGTGCTTCATGGTAGGCGTGTAGTCCTCGATAGCAGCCTTAACGGCTGCGTCCATATCTTCCGCGCTTGGCATGTTCGGAATGAGCATCGGATACCTCTTTCGGAGCTCGGTGACTACTTTTTCTACATTAACGCGACTCTCTTGAAGAGGGTCGAGATCGATAATAAGATCGAAGCGTTCATCAGGGCCGCTATCCCGATCACAAGGCTGAAATCTGCGTATGAAATTATTCATGATACCGATAAACTTTTTCTCGTCCGACGCCGCCTGGATAGTTTGATGATTGTCGCCTCGTTTCAACACTCGTTCTCGCGTAACCCTTCTGACTTCGACAATATTATTATGTTTATAGTTTAAGGCAACTAGTCGGGCGTTCGTGTGTCGTAAAAGGACATCGTTAATAATCTGTTCCCGCTCTCGACGTTCTGAGTTGTTTCTGTCAGCGATAACAACGGGATGTTCCTTAAGAAGAGACATAACAGCCTCTACCATTTGTGCAGGGCGGTTTTTGCCTTTGATGTTGTCATTCTGAACGATTCCCCAGCCGAACAGCTGAGTCAAGGCAACACCAACAGTGGTTTTCCCACATCCAATCGTTGCGATTGGTACAAGCACAATATCGCTTGAAGTGCTTGAGCTGTCCTGAACAAACGTCTGCTCTAAATTGGCAGCGTCGGAGCCCTTCAGGTTCTTGAATGCGAGAAAGTCGTCCCGAAGAGAAATTATGCCATGATTCTGTACGTAGAGCTTGCCTAAGTTCGGATCTTTGGCTAGTCTTTGGCGGACATAATGTAAGTACTCCTCGGTAATTTGGACGTGCTTTCTGATTTTAGGTGGCCTTCCAGCAATGAGGTCCTTGGTGCATTCACGCCATTGTCGGTACAGCAAGTATGGTTCTTCGAATTTGTACTTGAAAAACCAGTCATTGTATTCTGTCCGTTCCGAATCAGAGGCCTTTTGGCAGCGGATGACAAATCCTTCAACATCCCGGCCTTCATGGGCACCAGACTCGGCAACGCCCTCGAGGAAATTTTTGATGCTGTCGACGTCGTCAAAAACTTGCAGTCCAACTCTTCGGAAGCCCCATTCATCTCCGAATTGCTGGACTAGGTTACCTGAATATGTCATGAATTGGGGGACATTGAGGTTGACACCGTGGAGGTATAGACCGGCCTTATCCGGACCATAAGGCAAGATGTGCTCCTCAAAGTCATCATCGCACAATTCAGCGACGGCTGTAACATTTCTACGACGCAGCTCACGAGCGAACTCTTCTCTTGTTCTGCCAATGGTGGCCAGCTGTTTGTCCACCCATCTCCCACCAGCACCAGCATGACTCAACTCGACATCACTTCGATCTCCAGTCGCATGCTTGCTGCAAATTAGTAGAGTCCCATCCTCCAAGCCGCTGATGAAAATGATACAGCCGTTTTCCTTCAAGGAAAGTTCGTATGGACCTCGTGTTCTGGTTTTGATATTGTTCCACTTCGTATCAGGAACCTCACCGATGTTGAAAAACTTATCGTAGCCTCTCACGGCTATTTCATGGGCACCATGGCTGTTTGTGGTGGTGAAGAGACCACGCGCATAAGTGGGTAGGCCGGGCTTCTTGTATTCCTGGTCATGCAAACGCCAGGAATCCACGACAATACCGTCGGGCGACCCTGCAATTTTGAAGCTGGTCTTCTTGGCCCTGAACCCCTTGTTTTCCTTGGAGGTCCCGCCACTTAGAGCTTGAACTACCTGAGAGATCTGCTGAGGGTTCTGCTCAGCGAAAGGTGTATTAGGAATATTCATGGTGATTCGACCTATCTATCGCTATCAGTGGTGTGAAGTGTGGCGCGTATAGAGAAAGCGGGCGAGTTATGAACGTAGTTATACACAGGTCGTATTGGGTCAGCCAGCTTGTTGCCCTGCTTATCCTAAGAACCTTCTTTAGGGAAGATTGGATGGAAGTTCTTTTATTTATTTTTTCATGTGTGGGGACAAAAGGACAGAAACAACACCAGAACCTTACGATGGAATGGGAGGCAGGAGAGATGATGAGAGCTTGGAGCTCTCACATGTGACTTATATAAGCAGAGTGTTTGTGGCAAGGCAGGACAGGCATAGACACGGTTGGGCAATGAAAAACGAAGCAAAGCCCTGGCCGACATGAGTCATCCAGCAGGTAGGTACAACCCGTGTTTAATCGAAGATAATGGAATTGTAGGCAATTGAATACTTTTAGGCAGGTACGGAATAGGTAGGTAGGTAGTTTGGATGTTCTAATGAAAATAAAAAATAAATGTAGGTAAAAGCTTTACCCAGTCGGTAGGTAGGTACGTATAGTAGGTACGTCCGTACCTACCAAATAATACACTATAAACTACCTACCGAGCCGTATAAAAATCGGAAGAACTTACTTGCCTATCTACGGACGTATACGAATGTGGATACGTAAAAACTACCCTTCATGGTTAGATACGTCCGTAACTTGAGAAGTCCTACCTACTGAGACTACCTAGTCCAGTATGGATAGTTAAAATGTAATTGCACTAAACTACTACTAGTAGTAGTGCGCCTTTACGTAATCTAGGTACTACCTAGTACGGACTAGTAGCATTTGCAAATCGCGCCAGCTGAAGTTCTCCACTTTGCAACCCCCTCCAAGATGAAAATGTCGCGATTTTGGCGGGGTATTTTGATCGCATCAAAATCTCGTGTCCCATCACCGTCCGTCTCCGTTGTTTGAACGGCTAATTGTTTTCTCCTTATTATACCTACCTATATAGTATTTCCACGTACAAGGATCTTTCACATCTTATTCCAGAGCTCAGAAGCGTTCTTGCTATCCAGTCCCGAATCTTTACAATTGATAGAAGCCACTAGACTTTCTGAAAATTATCGTTATGCCCGCCAACCCCTTTCTCCTTGCAGCTGACAACAGCCCGGCTCTTTTGCCACTTCTTCGCGAGAACCCATCTCTAGCCGGCCAGCAAGATGAGCATGGCTACTCTCTGGTCCACGCCGCCGCTAGCTATAACCACTTAGATCTTCTCCGGGCCCTAATCCGCGAATTCAAAGTCGATGTTAACCTACGCGACGAGGACGAGGAGACAGCCTTATTCGTCGTCGAGACGGTCGATGCTGCCAGGGTCCTCGTTGAAGAGCTCGGAGCAGACATCAAGATCAAAGGATCTGATGGCTATACGGCCCGCCAAAAAATTGTTGAAGAGGGCGAATTCATAGAAGTTGCTGAGTACCTCCAGTCTAAAGAATCCGGGCAAGCCCAGAATCTATTAAATGGAGTTAACGGTGGAGCTGCGGAGGAAGGCAGTAATATGCCAGCACCGCCTGCAGGACTCAATGTTTCCGTCAGCACTATCACGCCCGCCGAAGAGAACGAGAACGAGGTTGACTCCGAATTTCGGAGAAGAATAGAAGAGTTGGCTCAGCGTGAGGACTTCCATAGCGAAGAAGGTCAGGCTGTGCTCCGGCAGCTTATTCAAGACGCACTCGCCGAGAGGAATCCCACAGACCGCAATGTCCGACCTCGTCAGCACTGAAAAGAGATATTATTGCCGTTTGAGACCAGAAACCAGTACACGTGCTCAATCAAGTCCCTTAACATCCCAAAGAACATACTCCCCTGCGCTCATTGGCGGCCTCATGATGGTACAGTCTGCACCACGACTCATGGCCGAGCGAGTGATTGGCGTGGTGCTAAGTGAGAACCACGCCTGTGGTGGAAGTATCCTAATCAGATTTGCTAGGGTATTTGCTGCCCAGCTTGGCGGTATGAATCCCTGCCAGCTGATCTTGCATAGCCGAGCTTCGTCGACCTCTGAAGGATTACCTGGTACAGCATAAGTAGATAAGAAAGGATCGATATCATCGCCAGAGTTTACTCGAGGGCTTTCTAGACGGACAAGAGAGATCCATTCATAAACCTCGCTGGCGTATTCGTCCATGTCTTGTCGGTTTTCTTCCTCAAGAACGACCGAAGGAACTTTTAATTGAGGAATCCCCACCGTCAAATTCTGGACAAGTGCCGGATTAGATGTATACGCGATTGGATAGTATTGAGCAATAGGCTCTGGACTAGGATCTGGTGCGATTGTGTTAGCA